TTATAGGCGAAGGACTTCATCCACTCAGAGCTTCTGGCCTACCTCTATTCATCTGGGGATCAGAACATCCTGATGGAGGAGTCGGCTGACCAGGCCCAGCGTAGAGACGAAATGCTGCGCATGTATCATGCACTCAAGGAAGCACTGGTCATTATTGGCGACATCAGTGCCAACACAATCTCCACCCCAGTACCGCCACCTGTAAATGACTCCTGGATGCAGGAAGCCAGGTGAGGGTTAACGGGGTGTGAATGTAATAGTTGAAACACTCTTTCTCTAATCACACAGGAGAATTCATGTGATCTTTGTGTTGGTTTTCATTTTCCTTTCCGTTTGTCATGCACTAAACTTTTTCTCAGTCCGACCGCTCAGCGCAGGCCAACTCCTACATCATCCCAACCCCCCAGCCGTCCACCTGCTGTGAGGGGACCAACACCAGGACCTCCCTTGAACCCTTCCCCTGCATTTGGAGCACCACTCAATCCCTCCCCGGCCTTTGGTGCACCCCCAATCCCCTCCCGCCCAGGCCCGCCCATCAATGCCTTCAATAGCAGTCAGGATCCCTTCAGTGCACCCCCACAGATCCCCTCCCGGCCTGCTCGTGTCCCTCCCAATATTCCCAGGTAAGTTTTATGATGTGACCAGCAATGCGTGGAAGGTGTTACTGTGATTTTTGTCGCACAGACTCTCTAACACTTTGTCTTTGACGTCACATCATCGTGTTTCTTTCGAGAGTTCCAGGCATGGTTTGTGGTTTGTCTGTCGTTTGTATACATACCTATTATTTCTGTATGCGTCATTCTTTCCTGAGTCTCAAGTTTCTCTTTGTCACTCTTCTTCCGTTCTTCTCTCTCTTCTGCTTCTGTTTGGGAAGTTTGGTTTCTTCACTGCCTCTTTGAGAGCACATCTCACTTCTTGTCCTGGTTTTTCTCTCCTCGTTACAGCCGAAGACCCCCTGGTGCTCCTTCTCACCGGCCCACCATTATTCGCCCTGCTGAGCCCTCCCTGCTAGACTAGACCTGTGGCCGAGTCCACCTAAGAGTGTGTGTATTTGTGTGTGGATGTGTGTATCTGCACAATATAGGCAGGGGCGGGGGCTCAAGGGGAGGGGCTGACTGATAGTAGTGCATAACATGCAACATCCAGCCGCATTGATGTCTGTTCAAGCAATGTTAATAAGCTGCTAATAATGTGTTTATAAATGCGCAGGAAAGAAAGCAAGCCCTTAACCACTTGAATATTGCATTTGACTGCTCTAAAAGAGGAAAACAAATGGCTCATCTGTGAGATGCATTCAGCTTCTGTCATTAGGAGATGATGTGTCAGATTCAATATTTTTTAAATGTAATAACTGGTTAATTTCCTTTACAGTTTATTTCCTGGCAAGGTTCTCAGCAGAAGTACATTTATTAAGTTATTAACTGGTACAGGCTGGGTTTTTCTCTCCCCTCCGCCCTACTTTTTTTCCCCTTCAAAATGAGCCTGGACGTTCAAGTCTTTGTAATATACACCCATAACCAGCTGTTCTCTCGGGTCTCCTGATTTCATATTGGAAAAGCAATGGCTTATTATCACTGTTCTTTTTTTCTTCCCTTGTGTTGCTTTATTTGAGTGAATTTGTCCTTTTTAAATGACAGTTATACATGTAGCTTTAAAATGAAATCTTAATCTCAACAGAGTGTAAAAACAAAGAAAAAAAAAAGATACAGAGCAGGGTTGTTTGACACTGAGAGAAATAGCTTCGGTTCCTCCGTCAACTATTATTTTCCTCAATGAAATGTTATTCATTGACCGTTATAATCCAAGCACTTCTAACCGCCTAGCCTTACATTAAGCCACTCATAGCGGGGATGCTGTAGCTTGTTACCATAACACTATGCACAAAAGTCCGGGGGGAGGGGTGGGATGGATGCTGTCTGCACTTTCTGGGAAGCTTTCTCCACTATTTTGGAGATGATCACGTCTTGAATTTTAATCCTTCTAGTCTCAGTCATACCTCAGTGAGGCCTACAGCCTTGGAGGAGAGTTAATTCCTGGATTAGCGGATTTAAATAGAACGGCGCACACGGTACAGTTTTCTCTCGGAGAGGATAAAACTTGATGAAGCTGAGGGGTGTGTGGACAGATCTGTGATTCAGAGCGTAAAGGTGGTATTAAGTATAGATCAGATGTTACGTCTCTGTCTGGGCTTAATTTTCAAGGAAATTTTCTCTCACTTATGCTTCCATGCATAAAATGATCCTGTATATAGCTGGCCTATTCTGGGGAGTTAGCTTATCTCTCATTTTATTATAGGGTACATGACAAAGCATGCTATCGATCATAATCCAAGCCCAAAATGTCAAAATACAACGGTAGTCATCAAATTAAAGAAAGCACTAGCACTCATTTCATAGATTAGACTTCAATAAAGGCGGGAAAAGAGATTATTTCATTGTGCTTTATTTAAAATCTGGGCATTTTTTTTATTTTTTATTTTCCCCCATTTCTTTTGATGCTTTGGTAGCAATTGTATCATCTCTGTACAGGTATGTTCAACTCAGCCCCCCAGCTTCGCCTGGACTGTTACTTGGGGTTTTGCTACAGGGATTATCTGTCTAAACTTGGACGTGCACTTGGTTCAGCTGTGATTATTTGATGATGATCTTTTGATTGCTCTTTGAACGTATTTGACCATAATAAAAAAAAAATATATATATATTTTTAAGTCTTTAAGGGGAAATTGGAAGTTACATTGGGCACTTGTTTTCTGTTTTTTTTTTTGTTTGATCAGTAGTGGTGAGCAGGTGCTGGGATTTGTGGTTTACAAAGGCACATCCTGTCAAGAGAAGCTCCCTAAGATGGTAGTCTGCATCAAGGAAAGATGATTAATTAGCCAGACTGACAAATCAAAAAGCTGTTTTAAAAAAAAAAAAAAAAAAAAAAAAAAAAAAAAATGCAGCAAGATCCCAAACCACTGCTTCTTGAGACAAAATGTGCCTTTTCTTCCTTTCTCAAGGTCTGGCTTTCAGTGACAGCACCAGGAAGAATAAAATATTCCTATCCGGTCTTTCTACTGAAGATCTTTAATAATGGATCTTCCACACTCCCCATGGTACACAAATTTTAAACAACTAAAACAGATATTTATTGGTCTAGAGTTTAAATCTCTGTGATTGTCACTTAGACCTGCCCTTGGGAAGGCTAACCTGTAAATGGCTTGTCATATAGTGGGCTGTGAGCAAACTGCCTTTCTCCCTAATGGACGTACCCATCTTTCTTCGAACCCAACTCTCGGATCTGGAAGACGGGGATTGGAAACAACCTGCAAACATTTTTTTTTTTTTTTTTTTTTTTTTTTTCTTCAAACCTTGTCAAGTGCCTCTGTAGCAATTAATTGATTTGAATAAACAACATGAACGGATTTAGAAAGGCGAGTAAATAAAGAGGTGTTGTGTACAATAAAGGGACTGGCTCTGGTGGTTGGTGTCTGTTTGTGTCTTGTGTGGTCTTCTCTCTTTCTCTCAGATAATGTATAGAGCATTTCCTGGTGGTCCTCTCCTTTCTCTTTGCTTTCGCTCTCCCTCTCTCGGGCTAAAACAAGCCCATATTCCTATGGCAACCTTCTACTTAACAGCCTGCAGAAATGCATCTTGACAAATCCTGTGGTGATGAGCAGGAACACTACATTTTTGCAACATTAACTTTTAATCATTGTTTCTCTGTGGGCCAAATCATGTTCCAATAACAGCTTCTCAGATTTTCTCTTGCAACACTAAATTGAGATATAATCATACATTTTTCACACTGATGAAAGATAAAAGGTTGCTTTTAGTATTTAGATTTTTCCAGGCAGTATTTAAAATTCAAATGTGAAATGCACTTCCCTAGTATTTCCCTTTGCTTAAACAAAAGGTCCTTCTATCCCTCAGCCGGCACCCGCCACAGTACAAGTGTCCTTGCTGTTTTGATAACTGGATCCTGAAGGGTTAACATGTCAACGGCAATTCTTTACTGCGTGTCACCAAGAGATTAATGTCAGTTGTTCCTGAACAGGCGCCCGGCCCCTCGTCGAAACCAGCAGTGACCTTGGCCGCTCCGCAGTGAATGTGAAATGACTCCAATCAATGACAACAATGGGAGCAGAAGAGCACGTTTTAATTTCACTTCATCAAAACAAAGAGGCACTCCCAATAACGCTGTTACAGTCCTGCAGCCTAACTGAAGAATTCAAACTGAGTGGCATGGTTCAGGGTTTTGTTTCTTTCTTTGGGATAATGACACTAATGATTGTGGGCACAAAAAGCTGAAATAGTTTGAAATCTCATGGTGTACTTTCAGTTCTCTGTTCCCAATCCCCCAGAAGACCTTAGAGCATTTGTTTTGTATCATTTCAGTTCTGGTGCCAACTCACAAAGTGCAGCAGGAGAATTGTATTATAATTTTTCATGTATCTGCTCGGTGATGCAAAAGAGAGAATGCCTTTCAAGTGGTGGAGCATTACCACAATAAAATGATTCATGGCAGAGTCTGTAACTGCTCACAGTTATAAAAATAGACACCTGGTTTTACTGACTTCTCCACCTTAGTACCACAAAGTGCAATTGCATGAAACAAGTGACTCTGATGCCTTTTTCCCCAGCCACCTGACTGTTATTGTTTTGTGTAATATTTAACTGTCATATAGTAAATCTAATCAGGGACTTTTCTTTTTATGATTATAAATATTTATTTATTACAGTTACTCTTTTGCATCATTTTGTTGTTTTTTTGTTTTTAAAGCTTTTAAAAAGCTTCATCATGCGCTTTCATGAGGTGACGTATCTGATAATTAGTTTTTTGGTGTTCTGATAATCTTAGTTTCTAGATGTGCCAAATGTAGTGTTTGTAATTCAATAAACTTTCAAGGGAGAACAACTGACGTTCTAGCTTCCCTAATGAAACTTTTAACAAATACCGGTGCTACAGGCATCCACTACTGTGCTATAAATGTGATTTCAGGGATGACACAAAAGCAGAAAGTGGTTTCCACAATGCATCAAAGGGAACAGTTTTTGACAATTAAAAAAAAAATCCAGTGCAAAAACCAGCTTTTTAAAATGATGTAAACTATTCCTTTAAATTCAGCTCCCATGTCAGTTGAGTGTTTTCTGCTAGTCTTTCGTCGATGGAGGTAAGGATGGTTTTGTTATGTGCGGACCTGCTTGGTGTTGACAAAGAGGCGTCGGAGGGTGTAAATTTGAACAACAGCAACAGTGAGCATGACCGACAGGTTTACGCAGGACCAAAAGGACACTCGCCACAAGTTGTCCTCCAGAAGGTAGCGGTCTCTCGCCTCAAATGCCCTCAGCATGGCCTGGACCTGATGGCTTTTCTCCAGGTGCCGGTGCACAGAGTCCATTCTCGCCTGGAGGGGGACAAAAAAGACATTAAGTGGATTTAAACGAATGGCGCTGATATGATAACCAGTTGTAGAGTAAATTTAGATCCAGGACATGCATAATTTTATTTTCTGCTCTCACCCTGATGTCTTCCATTTTGTAGTCCACCATGCTGTCTGAAGTTACAGTCTCTAACCAATCATCTTGGCCTCCGTTTTTGCTGTTCTGATTATTAATGACGACCTCAAAAAACACCATCTTCTCTGACATTTTACTGAAGCTGTTGTCAAAACATAACCGGTAGTCTCCATCAACTGTGGGATCCACCCTACAGGAAAAAGAACATTTTGAAGACAGGTGGCCGATCGATATGAATCTCCCACATTGTATATGTCTTGATACACATTCAATCATCCGGGCAAGAAAGAGTTTATCTGGACAACTGCGAAAAACTGTGATGAAAAATTTCTCCTACTGAAAACGCAATGTCCGCTAAAATGTACGTTATTAGGTAGACTTTAGACCTTCTTCCCTTTAATTCAGTTCAGATTTGTATAGCAAAAATCACAACAGGCGCCTTCAGAATGATTTCTTCTGACCTCCAGAAGTGCCTAATTCAAGGCACAGATTCAACAAGGCGCTGTAAACAATCCTCTGAGATTTTGGTTCATATTAAAATGATGGCATCACACAATTGCAGCAGATTTGTCAGCCGCACATTCATGATGTGAATCTCACCTTTCACCACATCCCAAAGGAGCTCTATTACATTGAGATCTGGTGACTGTGGAGGCCATTTGAGAACTGTGATCTGATTTTCATATTCAAGAAACCAGTTCGACAGCTTTGTGACATCATGGCATATTATCCTGCTAGAAGCAGCCATCGGAAGATGGACACATTATGTTCTGTAAACCCAAAAGATGGTTTTATGTTTGTGAGGGGTTTTTTTTCTTGCTTTTTAAATTTTTTTAAAATCATTTTAGGGTTTGTAGCCTACAATTTAAAGCACCTTGAGATGACAGTGGTCATGAAGGAGCTATATAAACAGAACTGAATTGAAATGAAGCAAAAATCACAGCAGATCAGCTGTTTTTGAAATACTATGACCAGCCCATCTGGGAACAACAACAGTGTTGCATTCAAAGTCACCTAAATAACGTTTCTTCCCCAAAATGATGCTTACTTTGTCATCCTGAGCATACCTACATGCCTAAACACATTCATTTACTGCCCTGTGATTAGCTGATCAAATATTTGCATTAAAAAGAACTTGAACAGGTGTATCTAAGTCATTCTTTACGTACATTTGTTTAACTACTTTTTAATAGAAATACCAAAGAGCAAGAGAGACTGCTCATCTCAGACTGAACAGATACGCACATGTGGATACCATCAGACCTCCTGAAGTCAGAGACTAGCCGATGTCCGGTGGGTGAGAGGAGGATAAACCCAACATCCAGACCTGACCCTGCGATCACCTGTAACAAAAACAGGGATTGAAGTCAGTATTTGCAAAGGTTTGAAGTCACAATCACACAGAATTCACTAACACAGCTCATTTCTTTTCATCCTAGACATGCAGCTTACATGTGAAGCTTCTCTACTTTACAGGTTCATTTGCAACAGCTGCCTGAAATTCAAATTAGAACCCTGATAGTAGCCTGAGCGACAACCTAGCTCACGTGTTATCCCACTGTCTGAGTTCTAGCCACACAGTTCTCAGCAGTTAAAAGTGTTTATTTCAGCACCTAAATAACCCACTAGTTAATGAAAAGCACAGGGTCAGACAAGTTTAACACCCAAGATAGGAAATTGATGAATTTTATCAGTGACTGACTGAAAAAAAAAAGGATTTTGTCAGATGTTTACTTCTGAAGCAGGACTGGAACTTAAGGATACTGAAGGTGTAGTTATGTTGTTTAATGATTGTGACTTAGGTTTCCAAATGAATGCATTAATGCTACACGGAGACATAAAGAGTCATGACTCAGAACCAGCACACCACCACAGCTGCAAAGAGATTGCAGTAACAGAGTGACCGCGATACTAACTGTGGTCTGATTATAGGAAGTTAACCAAAGGTTATTCTGAATTTTTGAAATGAAAGTTTCTTTGGATTTATGCATTGTTGTGTGTGTGTGTGTGTGTGTGTGTGTGTGTGTGTGTGTGTGTGTGTGTGTGTGTGTGTGTGTGTGTGTGTGTGTGTGTGTGTGTGTGTGGGTGGTGGGGAGATAATGCATAAAGATAGATGAATCATTTTGTGGGTTATTTTGCTCCCCCTCTGTGTTATGGCTTCTGCAGCACCAGTGGTTTTGTTATCTCTCTCTATGCAATGCCAAAGTCCAACACGTTTCTTGTTTTTTGATTACATATTATACACAAACTTTTTCCGGCTAAAGCAAACATCAGAATAAACTGTCCGTGTACAGACAAACACCAAAGAGAGAAGTTTCCACTCACCTGGTATTCAACTTCCATGCTGTCGTTCATCGCCGTCCTTTGGTAAAAACACTCTGTGCTTCCAGCTGGTAAGAGGAACGTAAACCCCATGTTTTTGTTTGGGCCCAAACCCAAAGTCAATCCCAAAGTCAGAGTTAAATATGCCAGCAAACACAGCTGTGCAGACGCAGTCATCATGTTTTGGTGGCAGTGCATAGTCCATTTATTCTACTTTCACCAACTATGAGCCACTTGTTACACATTTGCTACACAGTTTTCTGCATATCTCTAATTGCTTACTCGCACTCTGACAGTTGGAGAATAGCCAATAGATAGCACCGCTTCCCTTAAAAGCTCAATGAGTGGAGCCACCGTTGCGACCAATAGCGCTTTGCGGTCTGAACAGCAGAGCTGACAAAGCTGACATGAAGTAATTGGTTTGTTTAAAAAAAAAAAAAAATTCTACAAAATTTCTTCGAAGACAAAAGTGCTATGTTTTTCACATTTCATTTCCCCTTTCTCTTAATTTTCTGGTTTTTACACACGTAAGATCACTAACGTTGTAGGCGAACTACCTGACATTTTCCTTTAGGTGGAGCTGTTGATGAGATAAAAAAAAAAAAGAATAGAAAGCAGGCTTGATATTAAAAAAAAGAGGCACAAACATGATTTATGATGACTTCATGAATAAATAAATATACGTTGTATCATAAAGTTTTGAGTTTGTGGAGACTGGGTCCATGATTGCTGAGCTTAGTGTTCACAGAAAATGTTGCTGAGTGATTTCCATTGAACGGTCTTTCAATGGAAGATCATTTATTTACAGCCTAGAGACTATGTGATGTTATTTCTCTGTCACTTTATTAGTTTATTCTTGATATATAGAAGAAGAAAACCCCCAAAACAAATCAACGAAACCCAAAACCACAGAGCAAGTGCCAATTTACAAATCACTGGAGGGCGACAGACTGAACAAACACTTTTCTTAATTTAATAAAGAGATAAAGAAAGGAAAATTATGTAATACTGTACTGAATGTGACTAAATGTGACTTCTCTCTTTTCAGAGTGAGTAATAAAATCTTAGTATGAAAAGCTCATTATTTTCTGACTTTTCTTGCCCAACCTTCCCTCTCCTTTCCCAGTTCTCACACCTCTCATTGGTAGATGGAGATCTGCCACCAGTCCTCACCGAGGCCTTCCCCAAACCACAGTCTCAGGCCTAGATCTGTGCTTGTTCCCCCCGCCAGTCTCTCCCAAGAAACACTCAAAGTGAAGATGTGAAAATGATAGGACAAATAAAAGACATTTACCACTGCTATTAGGAATTAATTAAACTGTCTTAGGTCCACTTGGGTCAGCAGACAAACAGCATTAAAGGAAGTTCAAATTAATGTTCACTTCCTCTATAGTGCTCTGTGTCATATTTTGTTTCTGTTTGTCATACTTTTGTCATCATATATATATTTTCATCCTATGATTCACCTTGCATCGTTGCTCTCTCACTTTCATTGCATCATGTACACATTAAATCATCATTAATCATGTATTCCTAAGCAGGTGTTTAGAATGATCAAATGGAAACCACTTCATCATATTGTCCATTACTAGCATATTTCAGAACCACTTCACACACATTACTTTAAAAGGATGGTATGGTAAGCTCATACACTAATATGCTAATACAATCCAAGCAGCTGGTAGATCACTGGAACATGCTTAAACAGAAGTTTTATTGAAAGGATGTACCCCCACGCTTCCTTCCCCTTTCTCATTTCTCATTTCTCAGGCTTCTCATTAGTTTACGGGGATCTGCCTCGTCAGGGAGCCTCCATCAGTCCTCTCTGAGGGCTTCTCCAAACAGTAGCCTCGGCTCTGTGCTTATTCCATCTGCCATTTTCTTACAAGAAATGTTGTCTAATCTAATTGAGGATGTATTTGATGATGATGATGGTATTTGTTGGGTTGTAGGACATGCTGGAACTGTATTAGTGACAGTATTTAACAGTAATCTTGTACTTTGTTATATTTACGTGTATAGTCCACTACAAGGTCAAAGGTCGGGAATCCTTTTCAGCACTAAGCTGGTAAAATGTCTTTCCCCGTATGTCCATCACATCTTTTCTCATCAGAATGTGAAATTGTCCAGCCCCTCACCTACTGAAGCCTCAGTGACAAAGTACATCTCACTAAAACTGAGTTTTAACCTTCTTGGATCTTCTAAATGGTGAATATTGATACATTTAATGTACTCCGTTCATTCCATCCATTAAGCTTCTCTCTGGACATGTCCAAACCATCTCAGCCCTGCCTCTCTAACTCTGTCATAGCAGGTCTCACTGTCATCTTGTAAACCTTCCCTTCCATTGTTGCCGCTATCCTTCTGTCAAGAATCATCCCTGACACTCATCTACACCCACTCCACCCCCTAAGGGTGGGTGGTGGAGTGGGAAGGTGGTGCTTCTAATGACATTTAACAAAAATTGAAGTAGGTAAATAACTGAAAGAAATTCCACTATTAAATCCATATCTTAAAAAAAAAAAAGAAGCTTTGTGTGGCCTTCAGAAAAAATATTTTTTTTACCTATGAGACTGGCAAGAATTTAAACAAATCCCTAAATTATTTTAGGTAAAATAAGTATAGTCTTAAAAAAGCGATGTCGATTTTTCAAAAACTAGTCCACCACATCATCCCAAGAACAAACTGTTTGATGCAAGAACCCTATAGGGTTCTTCTTGCTGGCACTTTATAAAGTGCCATTACAGGAACTGTAGGTCAGGTATGAGGGTTAGAGTGCATGCATCTCGAATCAACCAGAGATTGCACATTTGACCTACATTGCAAAACCGTTGCAGCTGTTTAGAGCAAAACAGCAGTTTGCAATGACCTTACAGGTCGTTTGGAATATTGTGCTCTGGAGACACAAATCAAAGTTAGAGTTGTTCAGCAGCACTAACAGCAGACCAACCAAGGACAGCTTTGCCACATACTGATGGAAACTTTATTGTGTTGTGGTTGTTTGTTTCCTGGGGGATAAACGGCTCTCTGCCATTGCCATTCAGCTTTGAATTCATTCTGCATTCTGCTTAACATGAGGCCATCTGTGCCAAAGCTGAGTGGACTTTTAAGACAGCGATGGCCCTTTACACCAAGGAACGACTTAAGAAGGAATCACTCAAAAAGAAGAAGTGAAGTGGAAAGTTAAGTCAAAGGCAAGATTGAAATGACATGTTCTTGCATTTTACGCTAAGACTATGTCACAGATTGGTGGAAAATTACACCTATACATTTTTTAAATTAACTAATTTCCCCTGTGTCCAAGCATAAAATGTTTATCTGTAGGGAAAGCGTCCAACAAATTGCATTGGGTGTGCATATTTTTTTCCCCATGACTGTTATCACCCTCATGTAGAAGCTAAACGACTTTTTCCTGCTAACCAATGGGATGCTAACTGTTTACTAATTAGATGCTAGTGAAGATAATGAAAAATTATATTAACCAGTGCTACGTATTACCAGCACTGACTGGATGGAATATGCATACTGTTTAAACCTCAAAATACTTTCTCGTAAAATAACCAAGCCTTGGGAGAAAATATATACATTTTAAACCCATTACTTAAGGTGGCTTGTGACCTTTTAGGGTCTTTCACAAATGTGCTTAAAGTGACAAAGGACATGTGTGTACAACTTTGGTCTGTTACTGTAACTGTCAGACCAAAGAGAGTGTTAACGAGGGAGGAAGTGGGACTGGAGACATTCTGCACTGCTGCTGCACTGAAGTGGGAGGGTGTAAATGGGGAGGTCAGAATGCATTGCTCTGGGTCTTCCACTCACTGAATGTCGCCTTCAACCGTGACACTTCAAAAACGATTTATTGACTACACTGGAAAGAGTGACATAACCTCGGAGTATCCTTTGGGTGCGTGCAGTTCAAGTGCACGTTGGAAGCTCTCAAAGGTGCTTTGGTGATACATCTCAAGACTTCTGTCTCTGATTGCTGGTAAGTTTGCTCCACTTGAACCAACCAGAAGTAAGCCCACCCATTCTGAAACTTCTTCACACTTGCCTGTCTCTCAGGTCTCTCTGTCTTTACTGTCTTTTTGAAGTAGCAGCAGCTACTTCAGTGAGAGCGCCTCACTGAATTCTTTTCCATTTACAGAAAAAACCCAGAAAGTATGGAGAAGATTAAATATCCCTCTGTGTGTGTGGTGGACACCCATGCCACAAGGCCTCCAGTGCCCCCCAGGCTGATCCAGATGCGAAAAAAGACCGGGGTGGCTCAGATCCTGCTCTTCATGCTGGTGAGCGTGGCGCTGTGCGGCATGGTCATAGAAGCATGCTTCATCTATGGACTCTACCAGGCCGAACATGTAAGTATCACCATTTCTGTACCTTTTGCAATTTCATTCTATGATTTATTATTAGCTCATTGTCTCGGTAGATCTTTTTTCCATTAAATATCTGTTTCAACGCCTCTGAATCTCGCTTTCATTGTAAGAGTTTATTCATTGTTTACCACAGTGTTCTCACTTCCAGTTTTCTTTTCGTACTTTTTCACAGTATTCTCCTACATATTTTCTGTCAGTCATTTTAATAACACTTTCACTCAATCAGAAGTATTTGTAATCAGAAATGCGTTTGGTTAAAGGTCACAGCAGATTGCTACAGGTCTTGATTTTCTTTAAACCTGAGTTTTTGTTTTATATCATTGATATTGTCATAATTAAACATGTAGATGCATAAATAGGCATAAAAATGTAGATTACTTTGAGCTGTATGTGAGAAAGTTATTAAAAATGTAAATTTCCACAACAGAATAGAATAGAATAACAGTTTGACTTAGAGAAGATCCTATTGCAGAGATTCTTTATGCAATATGTATGTCTGGGTATCTGGAAGGGTTTGTGACGCAAACACAGGGGCTCTTGTGATAGAAATTCTGCTGAGATGAATTTATTTTCAGTAAAAACTGCTGATCATGAATTTATTTCACTATTATGGGGAAGAGGGCCAAGCACACATGGAGAAGTACTCTAAAGTCCAGCTCATTTACGGACAACTTTAATGACGTGCATGTGGGGAGGGGGCAGACATACTTTCTGAGGCGGTGGACATACAGAGTCAGTTTCCTGTACAGCACTGATGCACTGTGTAGCTGTCACGTATTATAGAACAGAATAACAGCAGTGGCGTTTTTGAGTGTGTGCACAGTGTACAAACAAGGGATGATGGCAAAAAGGAAGTGGTCTACTTCCGGTATCATGATAGCAATCTACTTTCTTCTGTCCTACCATTCTCTGCAGAAAAACAATGCCTGTTACAATTACATT